CTACATATTTGATGGTCCGTCCGTCAGACAGGATGGACACGGAGTAATTGGACTGGCCGCCGGACAAATTCTAACAAAACCCATTCCGTACTCGGCAACCGATGTGATTTAATAAGCACCATTGAAAGTGAGACAAATAGTTTAAGTTCATATTTTAGTCAATTTATATGTATGAAGTAATACCTGACATTAATAGTATTGTACCTAGATATAAAACGTTCTAAATCTAATACTACTACTACTATATTTAAAGAAAAGCCCAGTGCATAATCGTGGCAAATATTTGTATGAAATAATCGTAATTTAGTCTAGATAAAGAGAGTTATTAAAATTCGTACAAAAATTCTTGAAATGTTTCCACTTTAAAAAATAACGTCGAATCCACCTTCATTTTGCAATAGGTTTAAAAAATGGGTCTTTAATAAATTAAACGAAATAGATAAATATTTATCAGTTTATAGAAAGTTATACCATCGTACCTAGTAATTTGACTACCATATCTCACCCTTCGAAACAAGCGAAGCTTCCCAAGCGAAACACAGTCTACAGAGCAAGCTGGTTGTATAGACGAATATCAGTGATGACGATTTTGTACAAAATCAACCGCTGGTCAAAGAGAAATAATTTTTGTTTTTTTAGCAGTATATATTGTTGAATAAAACCACTAAAGTACCTATTTTTACACGAAAGAGTTCATTTTCCATTTTGTCATGTCGACCATAAAAAGCTTCAACAATACTGTTTACATAAGCGTTTAATTTGCAATGTTAAACAGCGTCGACCAGATGTCTTCTTGCTTTTTAATCAAGCAAAATGTTCATTAATGTATTTTTTATGGAACAATACGTCCAAGTGCGGACATTTGACCATAAATTAAAATAAAATTAATAAATATCGTGTTGTTTTACAGAAAGTATTCTGTTCAACGATATTGAAATTAAGTCGATTTGTAAAATTTTACAGAGACTGAATTCTCTTCCGATCGTTCGTTCATAATTTTATTCTTGAATATTTATTGTGGATGTTTATGTAATAGATCGAATACAATTCAATATAAGATTGACAAAGAGAGTACTAATGAATTAACATTTAAGCCGTTATGTGTAATATTGTATTGGCTCTGCATCTCATCCGAAGACTCAAATTTCTTTTGTAACCTTAATTCGTGATATTATTTTTTTTAGTTATACAATATAAAAGGCAAAGAATCCTCCTTGCTTATTTAATTAGGTATTAATTTTTTGCAACTAACTAAGGGTCTATTTACTTTATGGAAATATTCCTACGTACATTTTTATTATTATTATGTATACTAATATTTATTAATTATTCGATTTTTAAAGAGCCAAATATAGAATATGTAATCACGGCCCACTTAAATTAGATTATATGACATATCCCACAAAATCACATGGCTACCCATTTTTTTAGCTTCAATATCCTTACTGTTTGTTTGTGATAGGTACCTGCGAATCCCACGTGGTTTGCTACGTCACTAAGTCGTTATTCCTCTATGTCAGAAATTGCTGACAATTAGACCGAAACGCAGCATAACAGGAATTGCAAGACGGTGGAATTAATTCAAGCGAGTAATCAAAACTCTATTAAGTACCTGTTCTATTTCATTATTAAAAAGTTGCAAATGCATTATTTGATCATTCGACGGATACTTGTATCCTTTTTAAACAATCCGATTGTTTAAAAATCGTTACTTTTTGTTTATGAAATTGAATGATGGCATACCTAATGGTGACACTGGAATAGCATTATGGATGTTACGTTACCATGTGACTCCCGTGATATCACTTATACATTGTCACACCAGATGATTAAAATAACATGCCTCTTGTCCCGTAATTTCACTACCTAATCTACGACCGAAATACAAGCTGTATTTCGGTACAAAGCAAGCAAGCTTATTTCTCAGCTTTTTTGCGGCTCACCTTTATGAGAGACTGACTATATTAGTCTGTCACCTATTTCAGACATAAAGACACAATACACTCATGCAGGCGAGTTTCTACAGTATACTTCTTGTAAAGTGTTACCAAAGGTAAAGGCATTTACTACTAAATATAAAAATATAAAAGTGTTTCTGACTCTTACTGATGTACGGCTAAATTGTTATTAAATTTTACTTGCAAGCATTTGGCTTAGGTTACTGTTACTTTAGCGCACAACAAGTACTAGAATAAATAATGTAATAACATCACAATACACAAATGTAAGAGAATGAAAACAAGTTTTATACTTGTTACGACAATAATTAATTGAACGTAATGACATGAATTTATATTTTGTTGAATGCAGTTACGTATATTAATAAAAATCGTAGATGTAGTCCACATTTATATAAGTCTAATAATAATAATAATCTACATGTAATTGTAACAGTTAGAATAAATCATATTATCCATTGTAACTAGAGTAGGCCATGACATCTTAGATCACCAGTATGGTAAAACATGATGGGTACCACTGGCATCACATCGCACACCTGGTATATTATTATTAACTAAGGATATAATTTTATAGTGTATTTTCTAAAGTTTCTACTTTATGAGTTAATCCATTATTCATTATGTATATCACATGGTATTCATGGTACTGTTATGTACGTATTTATATAAGCGTCAGTTGCCACTTACTATCCCTATAAATGATGTATTTAACACTAAAAGAAAATTCAAAATCAGATTAATAGTAACAGAGATTACGCCGAAGCTTCAAACTTATAAACTTTACCTCTTTATAAGTATAGATATTCATATACTTAGGTGGAATGATAAAAATACTATAAGAATTACTGAACGCTTTTAGTTTTGATCGTGACGGTTGATTATTTATAATCACAGTAAGGAAATAATGCGATCGATTAGATAAACTTTAGATTTATCAGTTGACAAATCTTTCTGATCACTAATATTTATTCAGGCAGAAATTCTATTTAATAAAATTAGAGACCGATATCGAAATGAGACCTTTGATATAATTTCGTTTAGTTTCGACTACTACATATTAAATAATGTTTATCTGATTGTGACTACTTGAAGCTTGTTTATGCGCGCACATCAATCTGGTCTGGTAACTGTAGAATTGTTAAGTAACTTGTCTATAGGTGTCATATAAAATGTCAACATGACAGATTTCCCGCGTCCACTAATGTTTGATAATAACAATACTACTAGGATGTGTATGATTGGAATAAAGTTATAATTAAATATAGATAGTATTTAATTACGTAAATCTGCAAGTAAGAGAAGTAAGCATCCAAAGTCAGACAGTAATAATCCAAAGTCGCTAATGGAGGATGTTTAGATTATATATATTTAAGTTTGTTATTGTCAATTTTTATTTTACTTTGTTAGTTGTAGTTTAAAACTTAATATGCTATCGTCGTCGTCGATCTCACATTGTATTTTACTGATAAAGGCTATAACAGAATAGCAGAGAGGGTGGCCTCACTGCCCTCACTGAGTTATAGACCGTTTTGTCTCATTAATTAGTTTTTAAATTATATTATTCTATGGGCAATAGTTGTATTGTGTAAAAAGTTTCTGTTTCGGGCAGTTAGTAATATATAAATCATGTCAATAATTTTCATTTTACTGAATTAATAGAATATAAATTGATATTTATTATATTCTTAATTTGAATTAGAAAATACTGAGGGCACGCCTGATGGTACGCGATAACCATCTACCTGAAAGAGACTTTGAATATCACGTTATTATGTGACATCCGTGATACAAGTGGTATTTCGTGTTGCTATTCTAGAGAACTAAGTTTCTTATTCTGTAATTACAGGATCATAATCATTAAGGTAACACCGAAACTAGTACTAACTTTATATAGCTTTCTACAGTATAATTCTGGCAAAAAAAAAATGATTTAGATTGAGATGACTTTCTTAGTATTACAATGCGACCTATATAGTATATATAATCGTCGAATAACTAAGGGAAATATGTAAATTATATCTACAGTTTGAATAAAAAGACCATTCTTCGTACCTTTTACTACTAAATCAATCTTGCGTATCATGCAAAAAAAAATCTACCTAATATAATAATTTTATACCCTAGTGGTTTCTACGGAAATGAACCACGAAAAAAGATAGAACTGAAAAAAAAAAAATTATTTCATACAGTTTGTATGAACTTTTAAAAAAATATTTTCAATTTTCCTATTTGTTTCATGGTGAACTAGGTTCAGTCTTGTTAGTATTCTATATACTGCACTTCAATCTCGGATCTGGGCATAGCCTTTATGAAGACAGATTTTTATATTTATAGAGGTAGACTTTGAACATAGTCCTCTGCGTAACTCTCTCACTTATTTCAACCGCCAAAGTAGCTTGGTTTAAAAGTAAGATGTTTAGGTACTTTAGGTAGAAGAGTAACAAAGCAGTGAATTTACAGGGTATGTCATGTTACTTATTATCACATGTTAGTCTTCCGGGCCATTAAATACCACCACGAGATTAGCTCCATAAAGAATGGCATTCTTCATTTATTATAAAGCAAGGGTTACAAGTAAAACAATGTACTTAATTTACAAAATTTTATTTTTCCTCCTGTCGCCGGCTCTCTTACACTAGTTATTATGTTTTTCTTTGTGTACTGGTAATGGTAACACAGCAACTGTCGTTTCTCTTAACAACTTGCACGGGCTTAGGTTTTATTTAATGTTATTATTTTCAACGTGAAATTCCACCTAATTAATTGTTGTTTGTATTACTTGGTTTACGAACCAATTGTGACCATAAGCCCGTGCAATTTTGTAAATTACACATATAGTTAGATGGCAAGAGTCACTAAACGCTAACATTATGTTCATGTCGATGTGTTCTTCATCCACTCACGTTATAATTACATTCAACGGTGTGTATAATTATTTACGTTTATGACAATATTGTTTATGATTTGTGCATGACCCAAAATATGGTTTATTAACGAAACCGAATTTGGCATCAGTGTGAGTTTTGACCGAAAGGGAAACTTTCTTCTGAGGTAGATCTTTTGTATAATTTTTTGGTTAACTTAAATATATTCTAAATGCGTAATTTAATTTAAAATGAAAATAAATGTAGTTTGTAATATATTATCTGGTGAACATATTTATTTAATGGTTAGTTTATGATTATGAAAAATAAACAAGAAATGAATCAGGCTCCCTTACAACGGGTTTAGGCGGTTTAGAACGATCAACTTCATAGTGAAATATCTCTGTATTCATTTATTATTTAATTATCATGTAAGAGCATGTTTGTAACACATCGACAATCAATAAACAAATAATTTATATCTCAGGAGGTATAGTAACGGAATATATGTATTTAATACTTTACGATTTATATAATGTAAATAGAATTTATATACAAAAAGGAATGTTAGCGTTTGAGATTACTTATATTATTGTATACATTTTTAAATTGATTTTAACAATTTTAAAAGATGGTAAAGTATAGTTCAATATGTACAGAGACCATTGAGTTAAGTACTTGTTATTTTTTATGGGAAGTTGGCATCAAAATTATTGCTACGAAGTTTTGCATCCAAATTTTAGGTACAAGATGTGTCTACTTAGATCTAAATGTTTACACTAATATGTACATTTAAAACGAATAATAATAACGGGCTATTAAAACTAATAACAGCTCGTTTTTTATACACGAAATAACAAATTTATTCGAGAAAAATATTTACATAGCAATATTGCAAATCACAGAGATGAGTGCGCAAGAAACACAGCTGATGTTTTAAACAAGGTTTTTAATTAATTATTTATATAATGGTACACTCACTGGCAAGAAGCAATATATCTATATCCGCATGTAAATATACAGATATGTAAAATTGGTATCTGCATTGTTCTTATAATTAATAGAATTCGAAGGCGTATTCTGTGTTGAAGATACAACAAAAAAGTGTAAAATATATTTTGACAGTTGAGGTCCAGCGCAACAAATAAATTATTTTATTAATTAATTATTAACATATATTAGAGAATCGGACAAGAGTCACTAGCATTTGTTCTTGTTTAATCAGTAAGTTATATATAGAGTACTTGTTTGTGAAGTACCGGACATGGTTATCGCAGAGAAATAGATTATGAGCACCATCCCTTGGGTTGATATCACAAAGAGTGAGGTTATATTAACTAGATATGTACCCTATATCGAATCTAAAATGTTAAATCGAATGCTTGTGCTCAGAACTTGCCTTAAGAAAGGAAAAATAAATTATATTCTAATAACATCATAAATTAAGAATTCAGGCAACATTTGCACGTAGAATATATTATGAACAGGCATTGTTTTTGAGGTAAAACTGAATAACAATTTATTATTGTTGAAAATATCCCAAAAGATACATCTCTGCATGCATACGCTGCCCATAATTATGAATTTATGTGTAACAAATAGTCCCACCATTTTAAATTTATTAAATAGGCAAGATGCTAATATTCAGTAACACGAAAATATGTTGATTTTATAGAAGTTTTCTGGCAACTCATTTCACAATTACGTAGCGTTGCTACTATAATCTCATTTTGTTTTCGATATGCCTTCGTCACTTTCCCACACGTATCTACATCTTATTATCACTTTTGTTATATCAACAACATTTTTACAGTCCAACCTTTTAAGTATCAGTTAATTGGATATAGCGAGTAAAGTTTTTTACATAAATTGCCATTTTCACAACCGAAATTAAATATGTAGTAGGTACTAAAGTATATAACTTAACAGTTCAACGACTCCAGAAAAATTATTACTGACCTATTTTTATTATGAATTAGTAGTAATAATTTTGCTACAGCTTAGTTCAACAGTCTGGGGCGCAACACTTCACTCTGCCTCTGCGTCACTACCGGGAGACGGATGTCGAGGCTTCAGAGATGTGGCGGTCGATAGGTCCAGCGCTGGTTCGTGCGATAACCCACTTGCACATGGCTGGTGAAAGCTCTGAACACCCATTTGAGTTCGCATATAGTACTGCGACATTGAAGGCCCGTCAAGCGGAGAAGACGAGCAGCCAGCCATCGTTGGAGGGGTCCAGCAAGCAGCACTCGAAGGTTCAGGTTTCATTCCTGTCGCACTGAGGTACGAGCACGCCATCATCTGCAAATAAATACTGCATGTTAAACGAGCAAAAAATACAAATTATCTTCACAATTACGTAGATTGTTCATGAATGTTATCTCCAAAGTAGATTGGAGTAAAAACAGAGCTTACATAAATAATGAAATATGTAGTATTATGAGATGAGAGGCTAAAGAATTCGCGGGTGGTGCGGAGGGAGGCTGTTTCTCTAATCACGCTAATGGCCAATGCGCAGCTTCCCCTCCCTGTGTGGTCTTGCCTTGGCCCGTTCCAAGGAGGCTTTCACACTAATCTAAGAGCGCGCAGGAGCACGGCAGGCAGTTTTGTATAAATCGTATCACACGTCCGCTATTCTGACACTTTCTATATAATCTATTTCCGTTCCATAAACAACTTCCAGTTTTAGTTTAGAGTTCATTGCTTAAGAAATATATATTTAAATGGATTATATACGGGAAACTAGCTAGATAGTTTAGTGATTGAAAGTTACGAAGTTAGTGGGAAAGAACAAAGTTTAACTGTATTGAATTATTGGCTATGTTAGATTTTTGTAGTTTATTGATGACTATAAAGTATATAGTTAATTTATTTTAATTATGTAAGCATCATCTCGCGTTCGTGATATATGAAAGATAGAAATAGACATAACGAATAAGGACTTTATTTGAACTTCGAAATCTAAATTATACAATTACAAGTATATCTGAAAATCTTAGCTTGAAGGTAAAATATATGTAAATATTAACAAAGACTTCGTCTCTGAAAGTAAAATATTCGTATAAGTATAACAGATATTTTTTTTGCTTTCAAATTGGCGGTAAGCGTATAATTTATCGTTAGGCAGGTATAATCTCTTGGCAAATTACCAGTTATAAGATCCTTCCCCAATACATCTTGAAGAAATTGCAGCCAAAGCATTTAGTAGCCATATATCATGGCGTCGGTGCAGGCCGCTGGCTACGTCTATTTTTCACACATAGTCTGCGAAATTGATCGTGTTATGTTGAAGGTAAGGACGGCGAGGGTTTTGAACTCTTATAATTGAATTCTATAATAAATAATACCAATTAGATTTTATAATTTACTTAATCTTTTGTAATTAATTGTATCAGTAACTTTTTAAGTGAAATCAGATCTATAATTTTTTTAAATATTTATTTCCTATTTCCGTATCAAAAATCAATTGAGGTGTATTTTGTACTAGTTATTATTAGGTATACGATAGGTACATAGTTAATGTTACGACGAACAAAAGCCGCTACACAATTGGCATAGTTCGTGGTAACAGCTGCTCGCGTATACGGAGTGTTCTAACAATGATATTGTAACTTTAATATTTATTGCACTTTATCAACTCGGGCCCAGCTACGTCGTACGCGACGACGCGACATCACCTATAACACAATTACGTATTTATATGTAACCTAAATTAAAAACATGAGTGTTCATGCATAAATTTATTAAGAGGCACCAGTCTGCGTCTAGTCTTTATACAAGCAGAACTTAATTAACTTGACGCTATTGTACGTCGGGACGTAAACCCTTATAAACGTTTTGGTTAATATGTTTAAGCTTTAGGAGACCTAAACTCTCCTGTGAGAGTATAGAATGGCTGGAGGCGATGTCGGCGGTGCTCCGATCGAGTCCCGGAGCACGAATGAATTAATGTTGTGTTGTGACCGGCTGGCCGGCTAGCGGCCGTGGCGGCGCGGCGTGGAGGGCGGCCTGCAACCCCGCCACCATCGCAATAGCGGGGGGCATGTTGCGATTAAAATATAATTAGGAGCTCGGCAATTGTTTCGCCATCGAGCCAGGTGGCACGGCTCAGGCGGCTAGGTAAATTAAATAGCCGTATAGGGTTTCCAATTACGCTCACTCGGCGGCCGCGGAAAACACGCTTATTGCCTAATAATAGAACCGAGGGGAACAATATGAGGATCTTATATAGTTGATTAATTATTTCACGCTGAGCGCTGGTCCGTTTATGTTAAAAACTGCACCGGAAATGGTGTTCGGAGTCGATACTACGCAGGTGTAGCGTATTAATTACAATCAGAAAGACAGTGGTACGTAATAAATCACATTCAACCTAGAGCATACTTTCAGTATTAATGAATTCAAACGGGCCGCGATAATTGCGTACCTAATTACGGGCGGCCGGAGCTGTCTAATTTATCACTGTCGGATTATGAATTAGGAATGGCGTTAATTAAACATGCATAATATTTGTGGTGGTTACACACTGCAAAGTGTGCTATTGTCGCGGCCTCCCGGACGCCGGACGCCGGACGCCGCGCTCTCGCCGGGCTCCCGCCGCGGTCCACGAGCGCCGGAACAATTAGATTTCAAACTATTACGGACGCTATTGAAACTTAACGAATACGCTACACTCTGAATGTGAAACAGTATTGTTTACAGTTACAATTATGGAATTAGACTTGTGTGCAAACAGATGAATTAGTGTAGTATGAAATAATTCTGTGCAGTTTATGAGTCTACAGATAAGTACTGAAATATAAGCATTAAAAATTATATATTAATTGTATTACTTCTAGATGTTGTTATGTAATGAGGTTTGGGATAAGAAATGCATGCAATCACTTGAAGTTCGTGTATAAACTTTCGTATTTGTTTTCGAGTTTTCTTATATTCTATGGATGGTAAATAATATTATAATTTTAAAGTATTTTTATACTATAATTATATAACAATTTATAAAACAATAATCGTAGTATTGATAGTCGTGAATACTAATAGTAAGTACAATCATAATATTGTAATCTATAATTGTATATGATGGTATTCCGCTATTATATTTCTATTTTATTATAATATGTAAATCGTATAGTAAAAGGTGTATTTATCATAGGTCAGTGATGTTGGCGAGCTAGGTTTAGTTGAGGTCGTATTGACTGACCCCTGCTTGGGTTTGCGCTGCATTTAATGATCGACATTCGATACGAGGTATAATAGGTCAATTACAAGTGTTTTTTATCATCGAATTTAATTATTGTGACAACTTGTTTATCAAGATAGTTATATATATACCATATTAGGTTTAATAAATCAATATTTTCAAATTCATATCTATATCAAAAAATACTGTTGCTTTTTATTTATGTTTCTTTTTTTAATTGTAAATCAGTCAGCTAGAATTTTTTTCAGTAAAGTATGGCGATGTTTGAGTGTGTCTCTATTCAATAATATTTCCAATTTATTATTGTTTTATATCGATAACAAAAATTCTTATACGAGTCTTATCTTCATTATAAGTGCTTTAATTACAGATAATGTTTTGCTTGCAGAGATTCTAATCTGCTTCAAGTCAGTTTATGAAATGAAATTTTCACTAATAGCTTTGGCCGGAGTGCTCTAGTTTGTTAGTAATTTCGTTCTTGTGAAAATAATAGTATCTTATGTATTTTAGGGAATGAGCAATTTATCTATGCTACTATTAAGTCCGATCGTGTTGTAATTGTAATGTTTGTACTACTTTTTACGAAAATTACACGTATAGTTTATATAATATATAGGTCCTTAGGTCTACCTAAGGACCTATATATTTATATAGGTCCTTAGATAGGTACAGAAAGTTTATATTTTTTTTAAATTATGTGTTAAAATACATTAAATCAATAGAAAAAAACATTACACGCATTACCATATATATGACATCCACACATATATACATATATGCTCTTTTTTAAATTGTTATTACTGATTTAAAGATCTATTTGTATTTTTAAAGGTCGAAATCCACTAGTTAATATTAACATCTATACATACATGTAATAAAAATGTAACAAATGCTTGTCTGTACATGAACGATGTATGAGAAAAACTATTATTTTATTTTTACTTCATGAAAGTAATTAAATACAAAACAATGGTTATTAGATTTTTTACTATGCATTTGTACGTGCTCAGAAATTGGAGATGGGCGTCGTTTTCACTAATGTATTGTGGTAATCTTCAATTATTCATTCATTACTTTATTCCAATTGGTTTATAAAAAGTTTAGAAATAGTTATACGGGCACGAAGTCGCAGCCTTAGTAGTAAATATATTCTGCTAACTTAAAGCACTTCGAACTTTTAATAAGTAATGATATATCAAATGACGTTATTACCGGTACAGTTTCCAATTCTTAATTTGTAGTTATACTACATAGAGTCAATAAACAGAATTTAATCCAAGAAAGGTACACATCCAATATAATATCATAGTTGAATGAAAAGCTCAGTTCACAATGGTTCATCGGTATTCCATTAACTAGTAAAGCAAACACGGGACGCATCCGGACTCGTAACTCAATACAGAACGATTCCTAGCGAACGATACCCGTTTCGGCCGATTTGGGATGTTTCCATTCGATTGTAACAACACTGTTTATATTGGGCTGGGCTGGTGCGCCCTAACAGCCGCTTCCAGATAGACTTTCGCGAGACAATGCAAGACTGGGTCTAAATAATTTAATAGTTGTAACCGTGTGTCGCGTGGAGCCTTTGGCAAATAGTCGGCCGACATTTGGCGATATTGCGTTCGGTTCGAGTTTGGTGTGTAGGTGCTATGAAGTACCGCTTATGAGGTTCGGACCTCCTTACCTCTACGTGTGGGGAATTGAATATTAATTAAGTGTTATACACAGAATACAGTTTATACGGAAACTTATATTTATAATAATACTTGTCGCGTTGTTTTAGTAATAAAATATATATCTTAGTTACGAGATGGTTGTTTGTGATGAGTTACTGACGAAAAAAAAATATTAAAAGCAGTAGTCAGTTATATTTATGTAGGTATCATTTATCTGATTAGACACAGGTTTATTATTACAGAATAATAAACGCATAATATATATATAGTATATCTTCCACTAATTAACAATTTGTTATGTGATTGTTATAGCGAATAGGCGAGTATAAGGTTCTTGAGGTTAAAGAAAACCTAACATAGGAAATTAAGTCTCTCTATTACCTATTTATAATTCAGCATCATACTAAAAGGCAGATTGTGTT